TTACTGAAAGGAAGAATGAGAGAAGAGTTAAGTTTGTCTGTAGTTTCATTCATGTCTTCATCTACTTCTTCAAATAAATGTTTCATTTTATTATAATTAAAAATGCAAGTCAGAAATATTCAGAACATAGCACCGAGTCTAACTGACAAGAGTATAAAGATATACTATGAACACGTTATGATGAAACCTACCAAAATTCAAGAAAGTCAGTATACTTATGAATATCCAAGACACTGGGTAGAGTATGTAGGAGGTGAGAAAGCTATTGAAATAAGACAAGTTAGAAGTATTCCAGCAGGAAGAACAATATTATTGAAGAACTTTAATGTTTTGAGATATAATGATGAAACAAAGAAGCAAGATAGTTTTCCTGTTGCTGTGTATGTGAACCTAGACACAGGAGATGACATGAAAGTTTTTAACACAAAGCTTCAAACGGTAGTGAGAGAACAACTGACTGCGGAAGGACATCCATTACCTTCAGAAGTTACCATAGCATATAATTTTGAAACAAACTCAATAGATTTTAAAGTCATCTCTGCAAAGAAGTCAGGTTTTACATTTAATGAAGCAGATGTATATTCGAATGAAAACTTCAAAGCTATTACGTGGTTAGATAATGACGATTGCTTTAAGAAAATATTTAAATACAGTGACTCAACGATGTCAATAGATGACCTTCGTGGAATGTTACCATCGACGTTTACAGTAGAAGGTTCAGCAGGATTACTTACAAGATTGTCAATTGGTGGTATTTGGTCTCGTGAAAACATTGTTATAAAATCCAGTATAAGTGAATTTGCTGAAGAATCTATATTATGTCTTTCAAACTATATGTATTCGCCACCGAAGCATTATAGTATAACAAACTTTGTCAGTAAGTTTAATATAAGACTTGTTGAACCTTCTTCAATGAAAGATGTTGTGCTACCCAAAGACGGAAAGGATGGACTCATTATTGAAATGATTTTAATTGCATATTAAATGAGCTTGTTCTTGAAGGTCATTCATGATGAAATAACTGTTGTAGAAGATGTTAGCAATTGTTCAGACATTTTGAAGCGTATAGATGATATAAGAAAGAAGTTAGATAGACCGCAAAGCGGTGAGGGCGAAGCCCGTGAGAACGCTTATGTTTCATTGACTTTCTCCAGTAACGAGAACTTTTATGAGATAATATTGAAGAGAGATGATTTTAATATGGTGTAAATGGTAGCTTGGGCAGCTTTAGGCGCAATGGGAACAAAAGCATTAGCATTTGGAGCAAAAGCACTTGGAGCTTATGACGCAGTAAATAAAATGAGTGGAGGAAGGGTTTCGAAGACATTAGATGCAAATAAAGGGAAGATTGGAGGCTGGGTTGCAAAGAAGTTAAGATTAAATAAAATAGGGCTCATAAATAAAGCATCCAATTTAGTTGCGACTGAGTCAGAAAATGCTTTAGGAAAGGACGATGAGTTTGCAAAACACGCAAAAGACTTTAATGACCAGATGAAAGGTGAAACAATGCATTTAAATAGATTCAATGGAACTAAAGAAAATGTTTCTTCTCCACCAGTAGTTCTTCCGTATGGTCCCTATGGAATGTATGGAAACCCTTACGAAAGACCATTTGACCCATTGACTGGTGGAAGTAACTGGTATCATTACGGCCGAAGAAGAAAGACAGTCAAGTTGGAGACAGACGTGAAGAAAGCAACTAAAAAGAAACCAAGGAAGAGAGTTATAAAGTAATGAGAACGTTTATGTTATGAGAAATTTTTAACGTTAGTTTTATTTTTACTGAAAATTTTTATTTGGATGTAATGACGAAAACTATTGAGATAACAAACTACAACGGTCATGAGTTCAAGAATTTGTTCTTCGTTCCTCGTGAAAATACATTCTATCAGATACGAGGGAGAAAGGGTAAAGTTAGTTTGAGCGTTTATGACTACAAACATAATGGAAAGTTTATACAAGCATACGATACAAACGGTAAGCGTGTTTCATTAGCTTTGTCAAAACTTAGTAACATTTATTTTGACAGTGATTTTGACCTATATGAAGAAGAAAGTGAGTCAGAAGATTATGAGCTGTTATGTGAAGCACAGCAATGGGAGGAGTTGCAATACTTTTGTAAGTGAGAACGTTTATTTTTTACATTAGTGAAGTCGTTTGTGAAAACGTTAGTGAGGTGAAGTGGTTGGTGGTTTTGTAAATATTTAAGGTTAAGTTAGTGTTGTCGTTTGTGTTGTAAAATATACGTTAACGGTTTCATAAAGTGTCAAATTCACATAACAGGGGTACGGTGGAACGCAGTGCCGTCGTACCCTTGTTATGTATACTAACTAACTAAATAATTACTTATTATACTTTATTTATTTTTTTTTAATTTTAAAATAATATTAATATATCTTTCTACGTTTAATGATGAAAAGAGAAAGAGGAGTAAAAAGAGGAAAGAGAAAAGAAGAGAGAGAGAGAGGAAAAAAAGAGAAAGAAAGAAAAAAAAGGACGGCGATAATTTTGTATTGTTTTGTTATTCGGCCGAATGGCGGGTACTTCGTACCCGCCATTCGGCCCCAAAAATGGCGTATTATTCTATTTTTAAACGGTCATGGCGTAAAACCGTCGCATCCCTACTGCATATATGCACTCAGATCGGAAACTTTGTTCACGATGTCACATTGCGGAACAAAAGTGAGAGCAAACCGAACATTTTAACCACATTATAAGTTTATGTAAGGATAAAAATATAAATTCCCTGTCCTTGCACAAACTGTTGCTCGCTACGAAGTTTTGCTTTGTGATTGCGCGTGCAGAATCATTTTAAGCACATTTCAATAGCACAGAGCACATATAATATATGAATAAAACAATTTTATAACCTCATAATATAAAAATAAATGTTTTGAGTTCGCCATAAATTATGCATTCCCATTATTTGGATCTATATACTTATTCCTAATAATATATATTATAACTCATATAGTACCCCTCATATCTACTGTGATAATATAAAAAAACGATTTCTGTGTTAAGATATAATTTATCTCACATATCAAACTATGGATTTAACTTATAATAACACAAGAAACATATAATATATACATATGTCTATATGCGCACATGACAATTAGGCCTATATTAGATAATTTTTCGTTCACAATAATCTTATATATCTGACCAAAAACTCAGATTTGCCTGAGAGTTACTGAGGATAATCTCATATGTACCCTCTATCTTCCTGCTTAACCCTAGGCTCTAAGTCTTTCATTTTTATATGTATGCTGAACTTCGGGTATTCAATTTTTCCCAACGGTTCAGCACGATACGACCCCTGTAAGATGTGGAAGCTGAGACTTTTCAGCGCGAACTGGGCGATTCCGGCCAGCAGTAAGAACTTTATAACGATGTTTGGAATAGAGCATTGTCTCGTCCATATTCGCAATAAACTTCTTCCTGCGGGCAAAGTATCTATGCTTGGAGAGGAAAAATTGGCGAATATGGTTTGCGTCACAGGAGATAGATTACATATCAAGTGTAATAAGGCACTGCGTTCCACCGTACCCCTGTTATGTGAATTTGACACTTTATGAAACCGTTAACGTATATTTTACAACACAAACGACAACACTAACTTAACCTTAAATATTTACAAAACCACCAACCACTTCACCTCACTAACGTTTTCACAAACGACTTCACTAATGTAAAAAATAAACGTTCTCACTTACAAAAGTATTGCAACTCCTCCCATTGCTGTGCTTCACATAACAGCTCATAATCTTCTGACTCACTTTCTTCTTCATATAGGTCAAAATCACTGTCAAAATAAATGTTACTAAGTTTTGACAAAGCTAATGAAACACGCTTACCGTTTGTATCGTATGCTTGTATAAACTTTCCATTATGTTTGTAGTCATAAACGCTCAAACTAACTTTACCCTTTCTCCCTCGTATCTGATAGAATGTATTTTCACGAGGAACGAAGAACAAATTCTTGAACTCATGACCATTGTAGTTTGTTATCTCAATAGTTTTCGTCATTTATATAAAAATAAAATAAAAAATAAAATAAAAATAAATGATATCACCACCCTCACACGTATGAAAACATAGCACAAAAATAAATTTAGGGTAGAAGGTTAGATCTAGCCCGATAACTAACCTTGTGAATTTACACCAAAAATAAATTTAGGGTAGAAGGTTAGATCTAACCCGATTTCTAACCTCATTTCTACCCTCTTGAATTCATTGCTTTATAACTCTCTTCCTTTCTCCAACTCTTCTAACTTCTTCTTAAGTTCAGCAATGTTGTCCTCATGAAGTTTAATCTTTCTCAAAATTCCTTCTCTATCTAATGGTTGCTTTATCTTTCTAAACTGAACTCTACCATCTTTCATTTGATGAATGTAAAAACCTTCTGGAATAGTTCCTGATTTAATGTATTCTACCAAAAACTTTTGTTTCATTGCTTCAGTGACTTTATTTGTCATTTCAATCAAATAAAAATTTTAATATTAAATAAAAATAACGTTATTTTTTCAGTAAGGAAACGCAGGAGTTTTACGATTTATTTGTGGTGTAGGTTCTGGTTTAAATGTTGGAGTCGGTTTAGGAGTTGACTTTTGAACAGGAGTTTGTACTTCCATAGGTTCAGGAGTCATTGAAGGTTTTGCTTGTGAAGGTGTTGGAGTTTGTTTAACTTCAGCTACTTCAGTATTATTTACAACATTTGCTTTATTTCTTTTCAACATCATAACTGCTCCTGCTGTAGCTAGCAAACCTAGTGGGAGACCATATCTTATATAAAGACTTGACCAAATGCTATTTTTGACAGGAGCTGGTGGAACACCTAACCTTGGTGAGACTGCTCTTTGCCATTGTGCAGCTCGTAAGAAATATTCAATAGGTGCTCCATAATCGTTTGGTAAAGTTTGTTTCATAGATGGTGAAGGTTCACGAGAGCTTGATGAAGAACTCATTTATAAACTTTAAAAATAAACGTTCATCCTTTATTCCTCACTGTCGTCCGTAGCTAAGTTATAGTCATCTAATCTTATTATTGGGATTCCATTAGCACGCACCTGAATGGCAAAGCAACAATCCCTCATAAATCCAATAAGTGGCTTTGGTACATTTTCAGTTGCTAGTTCAATAGGTCCTTTAACAGACAATTTGTATGTTATTGGAGCAGTAGATGTTTGACCTTGCTGGAAGCAAAAGTCCACTTCTGTTGGAAAACCACATAAGAAATGTGTGTTGTCATAGCTATCCCATTTATGTTCCACACTACCATCAGCCACCAATGACCTCATAACATCTTCATTAAATCCTATCATATCATTGTTTGTATTGCAAGCGTTCGCAACCATTTCATAAAATACAGGTCCATATGATTTTTCAGGTTCTGCAGGCATATTTCCATAAGCTCCCATGGAAAGCTGAAGATATTTAAACTTAGGGTTCTCAAAATTAACATAATAGTTGTCTTTCTTTCTAAATAGTGCCCAAATACTTTTAACATTAATAGGCGTATAAGCTGCTGTAAATGTTGCACTTGAACTATCTGTATTCTTTGAGAATGAACCGTCCATAGGAATCCAATCCATAACTTTAACAGGAAAACATAAAGCCTCGTTTGTATAATGTTCTACAAGTTCTGTATAAATGTTAGGGTCTAAAGAGAATGACTTTGGATGAATGAAACATTCATTAAAATCCATCTTTGTTCGAAATAGTTGCTGGGTTACAGTTGTAATAGTAACTGTTCCACTAGCTTCTACTGCCTTCGTTATCATAGTGAATGGTTCATTCCATGGAACAAATTTATTTGTCGGTGGATTTGAATCTGAAGCAAATGCAACTTTAAGAGTTGGATTGAAAGCAATGATATCATTTACAGATATAGATGTGCATTGTAAGGCGTCGCTACTGAACTTTACTTTAAGCTGAATGTTTCCTGCAAAAGCTGGAATAAATCGAATAGCTTCTAATGGAAGGAATCTTCTAACAGGAATTCTTAAACGAAGCTTAAAATCAAATGATTTTCCTGCTGTAATTGGACCACTAACAATTTGTCCTGTTCTGCATGTTCCCGAATGACTCCATACATCTTCATGTCGAGTCTTTGAGAAAACATCTACTTTCTTTATTTGTTCGGTAGTTTGTGAGTTTGAAGTTATATATGCTTCTTCTCTTGCGTTGTCTTGAGAATATACGATACGACCATTTGCAAGGATTTGATATCCAGCAACTGCATAGAAAGCGTCATCGAAACCAATCCAAAATCCTGGTGGGTTTGTTTTATTGGAACCTGAACCAATTTCTTTATCTACAATAAATTGACCTTCCATTTTATACGTAATGAATGTATTGTAAAGGTCCAACATATTTTCACCAGGAGGTGAGAGATTGAATGTTACCCATGTATTATCTTTAAACAGTTCCAGGTTGTGATGGAATCTTTGCGTCAGAATATTTTCTATTAGTGTCACCAATTTGAACTGTATTGTCTATGATATCGAAATATGAGCGAATCTGATGAATATGCTCTGCTGGAGTAAATTCGTTTAGCTGTTCGTTCTGCATGTATTTACTTCAGATAAAAATATCTATTTACTTCATTATTCTCACTCTTCTTCTTGGCATTCGTGGTGGAAGTTGTTTCTTGACATTTTCAATGAAATGTACATTCTCTTTTGTCTCAACTTCTTTCACTGGCGGGTCAGGATTCTTTGACTCGGTTTGTTTTTCAATGAAATTCACGAACTTTGCAATAAGCTCTTGGTTCGTTATTGAAAATACATCTGGTTTTTTTTCTTCTGGTTCTATTGACTTTTCAGTTTGAACAGAAGGTTTTATATGGGCTTCGCCCTCGGTGCCATGCACCTTAATACTGTCGCTCTCTGCATTTGCTAATGGAACCTTTCTTTTTCTTACGTATATTTTACCATCTTTACTCTGACTTACGTAATAGAAAGGATGTTGTATTCCTCTTGCGTCATTTAATATAATAGACTCTCGCTCTGATTTTGACAAGCTCATTTTACATCGGTTAAAGTTTTAATTTTATTTTTTATCTGCAGTCAAATGACTCAGACAAGTCATATGGACAAGACCCAAGGGGTCATAGATGTTGAAGCATTGAAGAAAGAAATTCGCGAGCAAATTTTATCCGAACTGAAGGAACAAAAACAAGAACAAAAGCCAGAGAGACCAAAGAGAAAACTTAGTGAAAAACAACTTGCTGCATTAGCTGCTGGAAGACAAAAGAACCCACGTTTGCTGGCGAAGAAAGCTAGAGAAGAAGCTGAAGCAAAAGCTAAAGAAGCTGAAGCAAAGAAAGAGTAAATGGTTTATTTTTATTCGAACTAAATGTATAGACAAATACCTTTATCTGTTGCGTTCAGTAGTGAAAACCCTGACGTCAAAATAAAGGGGAACAGAGTAACGTTTAAGTTTCCAACAGACTGGATTGTGAACATAAATGAAGAGAAGTACATTGGCATAACATCTATGTATATAACACGTGCTTTCAGAAAGGTTGACTTTATACTTCAAGTCGAGATAGAAAATGACGAACAGTCTTTAAGCGCCCAAAACATTCACATATACAAATACTTTAAAGACGATACAACATTGCAACAATGTATGATTTCATTTAATGAGATGTTCGAGAAAAAGTTCAACATTGAAGTACAAACTTTACAGCCTTTACGTGAGTTTCTTGCACAACTGAAAGAAGAAGGTAGTCAGCCACAACTTATAGACTTTCATTATGAATTTAATGAAAATGAAGATGGAACACATGACTGTCAGTTTGTTGTATTCTCACCATTCAATGAAGTCGCTAAAGAGAAAGAAAATGCATTACGTATAAGATTTCAAATCTCTGAACCAAGTGATGATTTCAAGAATGTTTTCAATTATGATGCAATGCTTCCGAGGAAAAATGAATTTTCAAAGATTATAACACCTGGCATTTGGGATAGAAAGCAAGCTATATTATATTCAAACTTAAGTAAGGGAGTTGAAAATGAGTTCATTGGTCATACAAGAACTTCACCACTTCCTAACCATAAATACTATAAATTAACTGGCTTCAATCGTGAGTTTTGGATAGACATGTTCTCCACTCATGACCATAACTGCCCAGTGTTCTTACCTCCAGACCATAAGGACTGTCTCTACATTGAAGCACAACTCTTAAACTCTACCATCGCAGTATTGTAAATGACCACATGGGCTTCGCCCTTGCCGCTAGCGGCTTATTTTTATCATGAATGGTCTCACTGCTGACAAAAATAAATGACCTCAGAACTTCAACTTACGAATAAAGCTTGTTTTAGTCGTTATTGAGAAGTTAAACTTTTCCTCAAATGCAGGTGTAGCAGACTTACATAAGTCAAATCCAATCTCTTGACCGTCATAAAGTGCTTTGTAAAGTTTCATTAAACTGAACTCAGAGTCTTTGTCATATGTTCCAACAGGTATGTGAATGTTCTTATCTTCATTGTAATAGCATTGTATAGCTTCAGGAAACATTTCATTTGCTGTTAAAGCAAGGACGTCTTGTTTGACACCTTTGCAACGTGCATGGAATGCAACTTCATTTAAATCGTTAGTGAGTAAGTCTATGTAGGTCTTCTTTCCACAAAATATTGACTTGTATGCTAAACTTTGTTTTCCAGGTGTTATTTCTGCGAAGTCAGAATGAAATTGACCAAGGTTCTTTCCTATAAGTTCTCTACCGTATCTCTTCTTAAACTCTGCTGCAAGCTTTGGTATGTCTTCATTGAAAATATGCATGCTATCACAGTCCTGGTAGAAGATTTGAAGTCCCATATCTTCAGCAGTACAGAATACTTCACACATTATTCTCTTCGACATAGACAGAATGTTAACACCAAGTGGACAGAAGTTAAAGTGTCTGCAAATGCTTTTCGTTAGCTTGAAAATAGTTTTTTCTGAACCATCCAAACCTTCGAACTTCACTATATGGTTGTAGTTTCTGATGGCATATCTTATAGCATCTTTGTCATTTACTATGGTTATTTTTGACTCAATAGGAGATAGAATAGTTTTGCCATAAATACTGTTCAGAATGAGCTTTATATTTTCTTGCAAAGGATTTCCTTCTTTCTTATACTTTAACCTTAACTCAAACAACTTCTTTACTTCATCTCTTATTCTAATATCTCTGTTTCCATCGTAATAGTATCCTTGCAACACTTCACATTTGACACCTTGATATTTTATGAGGTCTTGTAATGTTATATGGTCAACATACATTAAACAGCAAGTGTTTGAACTTCTGGGAACGTTAAGTTCTGGATTTAGTTCAGGGTCACAAACTATTAAAGGAAAGTGTCTATGTATTCCAATCTCTGTTATCTTAATGAGAACAAAGAAGCCAGACATAAACTTTTCACCAATGGGTTCCTTTTGGTCGTCATCGAATAAATGTCTCATGAGATACTCTGTGCTTAACATTTCTTTCTTCATAACCTTTGGAATATCTTCTAAAGTATAAAGTCTTGCTATAGCTGATGGATATAATGAAACAGCGTCGAAATCAGCAATGAGTTTCTCTTTACTCTTTTGTTTAATGTTATCTGACAACATACATCTTCCACCTTGAATACAGCGTGAAATAAATTCTCTTGGTTTATTTGAGAGGTCATATAAATTTCCATTCGGGAAGTACACTCTGTTCTCAAATAATTTGTTAGCAATTGAACAAATACTAACGTAGTCATAAACGTTTAAATCAAATTCTTTCAATATGTCATTGCGGAACTTAACAAAACCTTCTCTTAAAATTCTTACATCTTGTTTGCAATAAAATGTGCTATACTTTTCTAAGTCGAAGTGGTTTTCATCTATTCTGCAACCTTTGATGGAATCTATGTTTTTCATGAATGTATCCGCATCCCGGATAAACTTACATGCTTCAGAAATGACACCAGTTCTGTTGTCATTTGCTAACAAAACACTGCTGTAGTAGTTGTATGGAAATACTTCTTTCGGTCCTGTTTGTAAGTTAAACATAGCAGGAAATAGTTTAAGCTTCTTATTTATAACACTGTAAGAGTCTTTTATAATAATTGCCCTTCCTTTATATAAGCCAGTTATTTGCATTGTTCGTGAACCTTTAATGATGGGAGTTCTTTTCACTTCTGTCATGTGTCTTAAGATGAAGTTTATATCATAACTGAGGTTATGGAAATATATTAAACTCTTGTCAGGAAGTCGCTCCAAAAATTCTGTTGCACAGTTCTGACCCCAAATGCTTTCACTCACTGAATCATCTTCACTGTCGTAACATATGTTAAAAGCTTTATGAAAGCCATCGGTACTGCACTCAAAGTCAGCAAAGAAAACGTGCTCAGGAATGAACTTACATTTAGCTTTATTTACTTCTTTTGACTCGGCTTTCTTCTTCAGTTGTACACAATACTTTGGAGCATATGTCAAATCTTTAAATGGTGCAAGGTTCTGTTTATATAAGTCAGTCGTATATGTGAAAAGTTCTCCATAAGAAATAGGTTCGAAATATTTGCACTCCCACAATGTTTTCATAACATCCCATAACGGTGTTGTTCTATCATAACGAACTACATATTTGTTCTCTCTCTTTGTATAAATCTTCATCTGTTTCTCAATGTTCATTCCACCACACTCCTTCAAGATTTCTTTGTAATTTCTGACGAAATATGTTGTCATTGGTAATCTTTCATTTAGCATGTAGTGGTCTTCAACAAGAAGTAAGTCAATAGTTCGAATAGTTTTACATTCTTTTGGTATGTATCTCTTTATTTCATTATGTCTTGAGTCATTGAAGTAACCAATGGTAACATTAAATGCTATACCTGTTGCGTCAGAAATTTCTTGTACTTTACTTTGAGGAAAGTCTCTAACACGAATGACTTCTCTCATGTGGTCAATAGTTTCTTCATTTACTCCAGCCTGAATGCAAGCATAAACGAAACAATTGTCTTCTGTCATAAGTGCTGCAGTTCTTTTGTTCAATTCATTGAAGATTTGGTAGCGCTCAAGATTTATAGGTAATGTGCAAAGATACTTCCAGAACTGACCGCTTCTCTTCTTATAAAACTTCTTTTCACCATTATCTTTCCAAAAGCTTTCTATAAGTGCTGGGTTTCCTGTTTGCTTAAGAGCTTCCAAAATGGCTTTCTGGTCATTTGTCAGTGTGCTTTCATCTCTATATAGTCTCTTTTTTGGTTTGCCTTTCTTTACATCTGACATCGTTAAGCCTTCATATTCTGTTAAATCATACATCTTTATTTCAGTAAGATTCTTTATGTTTGTCAAGAAGAAGTCATAGTGCATTTCAACAATACCTGCAGCATTTGCTTCTATCTCTGATATAAAGTTCTCCTTCAAGAGCTGATGTAGTAATGTTCCAATATTATTGAGGTTTAACGTAGAACATTCATACTTTCCACCAAGTTTATAACATACCATCCATCTCTGTTGTGAGTTTATTTTAATTTTCTCTAAGAGTCTCATGAAAACCTTACCGAAATGTTTGTGTAAGTAGTCTCTGTTTGGTTCATCTAAAGCTTCGATGTTAAAGTCAATGAGTCTATTGCCTGACTTCACATTTCTCTTCCTATTCTCTTCATCTTTCTTTAACCATCTCTCATCTTCTTTTGGTTTGTCGTCAATGGAACGAATGACATCGTTAGCTTTGCGAACTTGTTCTATAGCACTTTTAAACATCTCTCTTCTCTGTTGTTTCAGTGTGTCGTCTCTCTTTCGTGTTTTACCAACGTTTGCATTTGTTATGTCAAACATTTCTCTTCTTACTTCATGTGGTACTGAACGTCTATGATATAAGTCAATAGCAATGTCATTTAAAGGAAAAGTTCTTGCATGGACTTCGTCCTCGCCGCGTTGCGGCTTTATGAACTCATGAATTCTATCATAAGTTATTTCACCATTGTAGTCTTTAATGAAGTCAGCGAGTGCTTTTTTGTTTGTTGCGTAATGCTTTGCAACATCTATGTTAGCTTCTGTAAGAAGTTGTTTTATTTCCGAGTGTTCTAACTTAGACAACTTCCGATACATCTTTAGTAGGAAATAAAAAAATATTTTTTGAAAAAATTAGATTAGATTTTTTAAGTTATTTTTCAAAATAATTTAATATTTTTATTTTAATGAAACACATGCAAGATTGCAAGTTCTTTTCATACAATGCTCTCGCTACTGCCATCAAGAATGAGTTCAATAATGCTTCAAATGTTAATGTTATCTTTAACAAGAAGTTTGTGAAAGAATCTAAGTTTGGTCAGTATGTCAGACCATTAGCTATCGTCATTGACCGCAAACGTTATACTTCACAAGAGTTAGCAGTAGTTTTGAAACAAAAGAGTTTCTTCGTGAATGTCAAAGATACTCAATATACTGTTATAAAGAACTCTAACATTGACTTCTTCAGTATTGTTTTAGATTTATCGCAGCAGAAAGAATATAAGAAAGGTGAAACAAATGTGAAATATTATCCTTCATCTCTGAAGACAATAACGAACAAAGATGTTATACAGAAATTCTTACCAAAGGTTGAAGAAGCTTCTATTGACATTGACGAAGGAAGTGAAATGGTTGAAGAAATAGACCCTGAAGCTATTTAAGCAAAAATATATTTTTGGTTAGTCTTCATATCGATATTTTACAACAATTCCCCAATGTATAAACTTTTCATACGCTTTTTCATAAGCTTTATATACCTTCAGAAATTTTGCATAATCTTTAGAAGCATTTAGATATTGTTTAAATGCTTTGTATGTCTTCAGAAATTTTGCATAATCTTTTACATGTTGTTCGTTCTCTTCTTCTGTCATGAGTTCCGAATATTCTAAATTCATGTTCTTTCATATGAGATAAAATTTTATAAAAAAAAATAAAATTAGCTTAGATTTTTTTTATTCTTCCTCTTTGAAGTTATCGAAATATTCTGTTATTTTTTCCTTCAGTAATGTTAAGTCTTCTTTGAATGTAAGTATTGTGCAACCTTTGATGTCATAGTGTGTTTGAGGAAGAGTATTTTTGACAATTTCCTTTATTTGCTCATTCGGTGTCATTGAAATCGGTAAGTTTTCACGATAGAACCAGTTTCTGTCAGATTTATATATCTTAGCTAAGTCATAAAAGCTCTTGTTGTTTCTTCTCACTAAATGCAACATAACCATATCTCTGTCTTCTTCTTTCTCCAACTCTTCAGTATATATCATATACTTATAACTCTTTTCCTTTCCTTTTGGTACTGAACGCGGTATTCTTTTCTGTATGCTTTTGTCTTTGGATTCAATGACTTCATCTTTTGCTTGAAGTCTCTTTTCCATCTCTCCACGTTCTGCTTTATATAGTTCATCTAACATCATGAAAATATAACAAGCATAACGAGGTGAAGCCCACATTGCTACAGCGTTTACTAAAAGTCTATGAACATAATAACCTTTCAAACCAGGAGCCAAATTCTTGCGATTTTCGTACGGAATCTCTTCTCTCGGTTTTCCGAGGGAAGCAATCATATGAGGAAATTCTTCTAAAAGTTTTTTTGTCTGTTGGTTTTCAAACCAATGATATGATTGCTTTGTAGAACGAAGAGCATTCATTATACTTTGCATTTGGTACATATCGTCTTTGACCGAACGAATGAGACGTAACTGTTTGTTATACTGTATGTATTCATATTCTTCATTTATGGCTTCATGAACGATAGCAGTTGTTGTGTTCTCTGATGTTGACATTACTGTCTTTACATACAAAATAAAAAATAAATAAAAATTAAAACTAACTTTATTTTTTCTGTCTTAATGAAATTCATTATTTCTGTGCTGAATTCAATAAAAATATATTTTAGGGTAGATGGTTAGATCTAACCGATATCTAACCTCATTTCTACCCCAGTTATTTTATAAACGTTTCACATGGTAAACGTTATTTTTGGAATTTTGTGAAAACTCAACGGTTTGACACATGCCCTAAAATTATTTTACTCAGAATTTTGTTGCTGAATTCAATAAAAATATATTTTAGGGTAGATGGTTAGATCTAACCCGATATCTAACCTCATTTCTACCCCAGTTATTTTATAAACGTTTCACATGGTATACGTTATGAATTCGTGAAATTTTAAATATTTTTGTAGCTTCTATTTCTTCAGTTAATATATCAAAAATTTTAACAATGCCGAAGGTTTCTTTATACTTCTTCTTGACATCAGATAAAAGGAAATCATCGGCTGTGGGATAGTTTTTATTCAGAAATTCTAACATGTTCATTTTATTTTCTGCTGGTTTTTCTGCCTCCCTCTTTAAGTCAGCATAGTCGTTTCGCATACGTTCTATCTCTTTGACGGAGTAGTTATATTTCCTCATTGCTGCTTTACATTTAGAACATTGCGGATTCATTTTTGCGTTATATTCTGAAACCTTACCTGCTAAAATAACTAAAGCGTCAATGGTTTTCTTTAAATCTGAAGCAGTTGGTTTTATCTGTTCATGCCATACTTTACCTCTTCTATCTTTATCTCTTATCTGCCATACACATTTTGCAACTAATGAAACAAAGTTGTCGTATGTCTTAAACTCCCCCGATTTATAAATATCTGAAATGTTCTTATATACCATGTCGCAATCTTTGTCCATAACTTTATGGTTGCAATGATATCCTAGAAACTCATAGTTTACTTTACGTATGAACTTCTTTATTTCTACTGAGTCAGTTGGTTTCACTTCTATTTCATCGAATTCATGAATAGTGAGTTTTTGTTGTTGGATTTCAGGCAATTTGGGTAAATGGTCAATAATGTCCTGCATGTCATAAAGATATTCTTCATTTTCTTCATCCTGTGCGGTACAATCTAAATTACTTGTTAAAAGTTCTTGCTTTATTCTTTGTATTTCTGTTTCGAAAGTAAATTAAGAAGGAATGAAGCTTTTCATCTCTACTAACATAGATGTTGGATTCATGACTAACGAGTTTGGTGCTGTTGTTTGAATTGTTGTTGTGCCGATTGTTGAAATCATATCTTTTATACAAAATAAAAAAATAAATAAAAATAAAACTAACTTTATTTTTTCTATCTTAAGGAAATTCATGAAAATTCATGAGGGTAGAAATCGGGTTAGATATCGGGTTAGATCTACCCATCTACCCTAAACATTATTTTTGGTGTAAATTTCATTGACTGACTGACTGACGGCACAAAGTGGCTTAACGAAAACATTAATATATAAAATTCATGAAAATTCAAGACCTTTGGGTCTCGCCGCTTAGCGGTTGAGGGTAGAAATGAGGTTAGATATCGGGTTAGATCTACCCATCTACCCTAAACATTATTTTTGCTGAATTCAGCAACAAAATGAACGAGGTCAGGATGTATTTAAATACCTTTGAATTCATTTATAACGCCCTTAGTAAGCTCATAAAATGCTTGTTTTGAGGTCGAGCCACTTTTGGCTTGACCGTATTCTTTCAATCAAAACTCAAGAATTTCCTGCATGAATTTTGTATAAAAAGCAACAGTCCGAATTCCGGCGGTTGCTATATTCTTCACAAAATGCCTTATAATACTCTTCCCAGGACTTATTTTCCAACAACTTTCTAAAGTCTTTCCTAAACTGCTGACACATATTTGTTGCATTAATGTAACCATCCATGTCTCTACGTAAGACTTCAATACCGTTATAAGTGCCTTTTGTGAATGTTTCGCCATTAGATTTGTTCGTGAATGTTTTTGCTTCGACTGACATTTCTGTTCTTACATACCAAATAAAAAAATAAATAAAAATAAAACTAACTTTATTTTTTCTATCTTAAGGAAATTCATGGAAATTCATGAGGGTAGAAATGAGGGTAGAAATGAGGTTAGATATACCCATCTACCCTAAAAATTATTTTTGTTCATGGGCTATGCCCCGCCGCTTTGCGTCTTAATGTTAAAATAAATGGTACCATTAATGATATCATGACTGTTCTCGTTCATGTCTGATTTACATCTAATGAAAAAGTTTAGAAGAATTTTCTTATTCTTTCTGGCATGTTTTTATCTTTCCAGTACTCCCGCTCTAATGGTCCCAGATGTGTTGGCTTTGACTCTCTCAAGTTCTTAGATGGTATAACATCTTCAACACCTCCTTCATATCTTACTTTATAAGTGTCATCGTTTATGTTATAGCCAAGTATTTCAATAACCACTCCTCGCTTTGCTTCGTCAATGGTTTCAGCAAGTTTGCCATTACTACTTTCAACTAATTTATGTCGAGGATAAAACGCAATAGAGTCGTCAGCAGCTTTTATAAGATATCCATTACCTTGCGTAGAGTCTACGATATAATAGTTTCTACTTAACCTTAAACGTTTCTTTGTCAACGGTTTGTCGTCAAGAACTACACGAACTTTTGTACCAGGAATGAGGGTAAATTGTGTTGAATTTCTGATATTTAGTGTTTGACTTCGTTTCTTTTGTATATACTTTTCTTCTTGTTGTTGTGTCATTGAATTTGGTGTATGTCCTGTTGTAGAATGTGTTGAGGAATTATATACTTCGAGAAAATGTTTCATTGTTTCTTCGGTAAAGTCTCGCTCTTGATTTAAATCTCTGAGCGTTCTTATGAAGCGGTTTATGATGCCGAGTATGTTATGGTTATGGTCTTCAGTAGTGTAGTGAGTTATGTTATGCTTAATGAGAAAATCTGTGATTTCATTGCTGAGATATGCACTGTCTTGGTCTGATGTTAAAGTACTTGGGCTATGTTCTGCTACAAACTTTTGTAAAACTCTTAACACTTCACAAGTTCCTTTATTTTTCATTGGATATGCATATGCTTTACGAGTGTTAACATTAATGAAGATGAGGAATGGTTTATGTCCTCCTTTCTTACTCTGAACGAGAGTGTCAAATTGGTATGCGTCAGGAGTGTTGTAGTAAATTGGTAAAAAGTAGTCGTAAGGGTTTATTTTTGTTTGATGTACAACATTTTTGTCAAAGAACCTTTTCAATTCAGCTCTGTTAGTAAATCCCCAACTCTTTGCAGCTTCATTGAATTTCTTAAATGACCTCCATGGATGTTGTTCGAATACTTCTTTCAAGCTCATTTATGTAAAGTTAAAGATTTTATTCAAGACGGTAAGCCCGCAAAGCAGGCTCAAGCGCGTTCATTGAACGCGGTACCATGCAAATACAGTCACAAATGGTGGCATGTAATCTGCACCCGAGCCTGTTGGATTTGTTGTGAAAGTATGGACATGATTTCCTGCGGTTCCACAGAAAATACCTGCGCTTGAATCTACTGGGTCACTTGAAATATCATATCTATGCATTCCCTGTCTATCCGAACCTGCTGCAAGATTTGTATAACCTCTTTTTGTTATTGAATGTGAATGACTACCTGTTGTGTTTGTAGTTCCTGTATGAGTGTGCGGTGGAAGGTTTGCTTCAGTAATTTTCTTCGAACCTCCTGTTTGCTTTGAAGAGTTAGCACAGTATAAGAATTTGTCTACAATCTGCTGCCATGTACCAAAACCTAAAACACTTGCTGGATTTGTTGAGTTCATTGACGTATAAATAGAGCCTATAGGATATAATGTTTGAAGTATTTCAGTCTTTAATGTTTGAAGCTCTGTTTTGTCTGCTTTCTTATCTAACATTGTTGGTAGTTCATATGCTTCAAAGTTTCTGGCATGATCTTCGATATTCCTGCAACTGTTATCTAAATTGTTTAGTGTATCTTTTACGCTTGTACTTGGATTCTCTAAAGGTGCACTTGAACCAAGGGTATAGTTCAATATTATGTCGTCTGCTCTAACAGTAGTGAAGGACTTATGTGTATGGTTCTTGTCGGCTTTCTTATCATATAAATCTTGAGCAGTGAATTTAACATTATTTTCATCATCCATGACATAAACATTTTTACAGCTAATTTCTTTCTTCGTTGTTATGTTTTCATTCGATGTTAAACCTTGTGGAAAGTTAGGAGGTTTATAATATAATGCATCCCCACCAGTTCTGCCAACCGTTCCTTCAATACTTTCTATAGCAACAGTTGAGAAGGAGTTATGTGTATGTTCTTTATCTGCTTTTTTATCTAACATTGCTGGTAGTTCATGTGTTTCAAAGTTTCTGACATGACCTTCGATATTCATACATTTGTTATTTAAGGAGTTTAGTGTATCTTTTACGCTTGTACTTGGATTCTCTAAAGGTGCACTTGAACCAAGGGTATAGTTCAATATTATATCGTCTGCTCTCACAGTAGTGAAGGATTTATGTGTATGTTCTTTATCTGCTTTTTTATCTAACGTAGCCTGAAGTTCATTTATATCGGAGATATTGTGTTTATGAGATTTCAAAACTTTGTTCGTTGCGTCAAGTTCTTCTTTCTCTGCTTTACTTTTAATAGTATCTTCAAAAGTTATTTTTGCCTTAACTCTCAATGTAAATCTTGGTTCAACTAATACACCGTTAACAAAGAAGTATGAAGCATAAATTTCATTGTTATAACCAAAATGTTTCTGGTGCTTTACCTGTGTCATACTGTACAGTACAGTGTATGTCATAACCTTTAGCACAAATGAATTTATATCTTCTTTCATTAACATCTTTCGTCTTCACTTCTTCATCCTGTGTTAAATATCCATGGTAGTCCGTTATAATCTGTTCGTCTGAACTTATATAATGAACATGGTTTTTATCTGCTTTTTCGGCTAATTTCTCTTCTATCTCATTTATTTCAAGTTCATGCCTACCACCACCTCCCGAAGAAGTATTTTTCTTCAGCTCTTGAAGAACGTCCACTTCGCCATCTTTGGTGTCAATAATGAGACTTTGTGTTAAAACCTTTCCTGTCTTAATGGATGTTTGTAAAACTTCTTCTTCACCGTGTTCGGGGTCATGGTCGTCATCATATCTTGTGAAATCAGAGATGTTGTCATACATTAAGCATATCTGTCTCAAAAGTTCTGCTATTTGAAACTGGAACGAAAGATATACAGAACTTTCATCATCTCCTAAAGTCAAGTCTGCTTTCTTAAGTATTTCTTGAATGTATGCAATGAGAACAGAGTACCTTGGAAAATATTCGAACAATATTTCATTAGCTGTTGGTTTTGGTGGAGTTTCTGCATCTCTTGACTTCAATGCTCTTGCTCTCAAAGACCTAAATGTTAGAGCACCAGGCTTTACAAAGGACTTTATAAATGCTTTAATAGTTCCTGGTAAGTTATTGTTAGCATTAAGTAAGTTCCTTATGCTTCCATCATGTACGTCCATAGCACTATGGAAAAAAATCTATACTTTTCTTGTAGTCAGCAATAGACTGACTGTGATTTTTTAAAGATTTGTCAATGCCTTTAAGCCAATCTTCATGCATGTCTGATACTGAGCCAAGAATATCATTTGCTTCCTTTAGTGTATTTTGTGCTTCTCGTAAAGTATCCAATCCAGTACGTGCATTGTTTGCTATACGTCTTACAGTATCTATTTGACTCCTTGTTTCTTGCATCCAACCAGATAAAGTTTTAATAGTATCCGAACCATTTGAAATGAAGTTCAAAGCATTTTTAACGTCATCTAAAGCTTCTTCACCAAGTACCGCCCATATCTTTCCGATTTGGTATTGAATAACTCCATATGAAGCAGCTGTTAAACCAGTATTTATAAGGTCCCATATCCATGATTTAGCAGTTTTTCCATCCTTTCCATCCTTTCCATCCAAACCGTTTTCGCCTTGAGGTCCTTGAATTCCTTGAATTCCTTGTATTCCTTGTGGTCCTTGAGGTCCAGTGTCACCCTTCTCTCCTTTCAGTTCATCTTTATGTTCGTTATAATATTCTAATGTCATAAGGTGTACATCATTACTGCTACCAGCAACGCCGAGAATTTGTTTCTCATTCATGACTAAATTCTTTAGGCATTTAATGTTGTCGTCAAATCGAAAGCTCTTTAACAATTCAATGAGAACATTTAATACTTTCACTAATGAGGCATCTACTGTAGAATTTATATATTGCACCGTTCCATCATTTATGATGGGAACTTTACTTATTGTAATGAATGGGTCATAAGTGTTAAAAGTATCGAAATCAATGACTTTTTTAGTTTTTCCATCGTCAATGACTAAATCATTGCCTTCAATGGTTAAAGTTGAGTTTTCGTTTACTAGTTCATGTGCTCTTCTTGCTTCATTTGTTTCATACGCATATGCAGCAATAGTCATATTTTAATGAGAATAAAATGTTGTTCTATTTGCAAAGTACAGACCCAAACGAATATGGAACAGTAAAGCTTCAAACAAACTTAGGTCTTCAGAATGAAGCACTTGCTTTCAGAGTTGTTGACTTCAATACTATCGCAACTTTTGTCATAACAGATGAAACAGATTTCATAGAGATTGAAATAGATGACAAAAGAAGTTTTATAACATTTCCTAACAGAGCAGAGTATAGAATAGATAAAATTGCTGGAGTCATAGATACTCTCATAAATGAAGAAACTATTGACAACATAGATGTCGAACTCTCTTCTGAGGGAACATTGAAGTTCAGTAGCAAGAAAGAGTTCAAGATAACACGAATGAGTCATAGAGTTCAACTTCTTTTAGGAGCATACCATATGACATTTCCTTTGAAAAGTGTTGACAAAACGATTGAGATGAAATCTGTTCCATACGTATGTTATGGCAATTGTTTATACATTGAGTCAAAAATAGCTAATGTCACAGGCATTTCAGGAGTTAATAGTAAAGGTTCAGTAGAGTATAAATCTTTCTGTTATGAAGTAAATTCAATGTTCATTCCAAACGTTCCTGTCATAGCAACTCATTTAGGTAAATGGATTCGCATTAGTCCTCATAATTTGAAAGACATGCAATTCAGACTAGTTGACTTTCGAGGCGAGCCTGTAGAACTGAAGGCACCAGTGCGAATGACTGTTGAAGTTGACTTTTTAGATAATATTAAATGCAACAGCTTACAAGAGAACTCAGAGCTAAAAATATAAAGTATGAATGTTATGTATTAGGTCATGAACTTTGGTTGTTGCTGTTTGATGAAACAAATGAGTTAGTTATGTCAGTCAAGAGAACAGAAAAATATTGTGTTAGTGAAAACTGCACCAAGTCAATAAGATTAGGTTTGCATTATGAAGATGAGTTCGATAGTGTTGAAGAAGTTTTGGATAGATATTACAAATTGCTAACTTGAAATTTTTTTGACTAACGGCGCAAAGCGCCAAGACCGAAGGTCCTGACTGCTTTAATTTACTAAAACATATTTCAAACAAAGTTTATATTCTGTTGAAAGTTTTGTATATTCATTCGAATATTTATACTTAAACTCAACTCCTGTAGTTCCTGGTGTTTCGATTATTCTAATATTACCTATTTTCATGAATAGTGGAGTTTGACCACAGCATTCGATTTCAGGGTCGAGATAGTCAATGACACATTGCTTTCCTGTTATTCGTGATATAACATTTTCAAGGTCCTCCTTTGTTAGAATTATTTGGTTCTTGCTTATAAGATTTGTCAAAAGCTTCTTATCGTCTTTGAGTAAGATAGTTTGATATAACTGAAGAAGGTAATGGTCTACGTTATCTGAAGGATTTGTTTGAAATTTGTGTAAGGATTGTCGTTGGCTTCTCTTGAAAGAATTTGGTCCAGTGGTGGATACTCTAACTTAACATCTGATGTAGCGTTAGCGTTTGAAGCTGAGTTTAAATTCACCGACTTAAGATCTGGTTCTTTTTCTTTCAAACACTCCGAACTATAGTTCTTTATGACAATATTGTTTGTCGTTCGTGAGTCAACATTTGATGTTGGTTCAATTGGAACATTAACGGCACCAGCTAAGATGGATTTGCTTCTCATTTCATATAGAATAAAAACCTTTTATATGTATGAAATGAACAATATACTCGACAAGGGTTTGAATGTAAAGCTAACGAATGAAAATATTGTTGAATTCACTGAGACAGGTGCTGTGTATAAAGATGTAGAACTACTGAACAAAAGAGCTAAGGGAAGAAGCAGGAACATGAACAAAGGGTGGAAGCCTATAAAAATTTATGTCAATGATGGCTCAGGAGGTTCAAACATAAAGTATGCAGAAAGTTATAGAGTTTATGCTCTCAAAGGTGAAAAGCCTTCATTTAAGAACAGCTATTCTAACGCATATCCTCAAAAGCTAACGGATGGGGAAGTGGATGATATGAATGACAGCAAAAATATTAACAGAAATGGCGACAGAGATGCATGGAATTTGTTTACCATCAGTCAATTGAAGGTTAAACTTTAAAACAATGTTGGTCGTTCCCATGGAATATTTTTGACTTTAATGGTATTAGTCATGATATGAATCTCAAGGTATGAACGAGGAGAGATGAGAGACTTATATGCTTCCCAAATTTCTTCAAAAGGTAATGTTATACCTGACTGTTTCCAAATGAGTTCAATATCATAGCGTGAGAAACCTTGAAAGATAACGAAGTCAGTTATGAGACGTTTTATGTTTAAAGCTAAAAACCTCCATGTTTGCATAAGTATTGCTACAGTTAAATGGTAATGTCTGACTTTAGTAATGATGTTAGCTAATGGTGAGTCAGGCTTTGACACTAAACCTTTTCCGGCGAAGTCGTCGCAAACGAGCAGAGTGTTTGAAGGATACTTTTTGAAGGGGTTTTTGAAAGTTTTGACAGAATGTAGTTTGTAAGTCGTTTCATATCGTAAACTCCTGAGTATTGACGTAAGTGGTGTTTGTCAATAATTCTTTCCATCTCCTCAGAAGTCTTTTGCATTCCTGACTGTATAAATTCAACGATGGCATAATATTTCCTCTTACGTCGAATGTAACGTTGAAGAAATTCAATGAGTTCACTGTCTGGAACTTTAACGACAGAGGCTTGAACTTTTGACATAAATGTTTTCGCTGTTGAGTCCATAGAGTCTGAAGTTGCTGATATAATGATTTGGTCATAATATGAGTCATTTCCTAAACGTTCTGTTATGAGTATATGACGAATGAGGTTAAATGTCTTACCTGAACCCATCTTTCCACAATAGAAATAAACACCATTTGAACAGAACTCATAGTCCTTACTGAAAGGAAGAATGAGAGAAGAGTTAAGTTTGTCTGTAGTTTCATTCATGTCTTCATCTACTTGTATTAAATGCTTCATTTTATCTATTAAAAATGCAAGTCAGAAATATTCAGAACATAGCACCGAGTCTAACTGACAAGAGTATAAAGATATACTATGAACACGTTATGATGAAACCTACCAAAATTCAAGAAAGTCAGTATACTTATGAATATCCAAGACACTGGGTAGAGTATGTAGGAGGTGAGAAAGCTATTGAAATAAGACAAGTTAGAAGTATTCCAGCAGGAAGAACAATATTATTGAAGAACTTTAATGTTTTGAGATATAATGATGAAACAAAGAAGCAAGATAGTTTTCCTGTTGCTGTGTATGTGAACCTAGACACAGGAGATGACATGAAAGTTTTTAACACAAAGCTTCAAACGGTAGTGAGAGAACAACTGACTGCGGAAGGACATCCATTACCTTCAGAAGTTACCATAGCATATAATTTTGAAACAAACTCAATAGATTTTAAAGTCATCTCTGCAAAGAAGTCAGGTTTTACATTTAATGAAGCAGATGTATATTCGAATGAAAACTTCAAAGCTATTATGGTTAGATAATGACGATTGCTTTAAGAAAATATTTAAATACAGTGACTCAACGATGTCAATAGATGACCTTCGTGGAATGTTACCATCGACGTTTACAGTAGAAGGTTCAGCAGGATTGCTTACAAGATTGTCAATTGGTGGTATTTGGTCTCGTGAAAACATTGTTATAAAATCCAGTATAAGTGAATTTGCTGAAGAATCTATATTATGTCTTTCAAACTATATGTATTCGCCACCGAAGCATTATAGTATAACAAACTTTGTCAGTAAGTTTAACATAAGACTTGTCGAACCTTCTTCAATGAAAGATGTTGTGCTACCAAAGACGGAAAGGATGGACTCATTATTGAAATGATTTTAATTGCATATTAAATGAGCTTGTTCTTGAAGGTCATTCATGATGAAATAACTGTTGTAGAAGATGTTAGCAATTGTTCAGACATTTTGAAGCGTATAGATGATATAAGAAAGAAGTTAGATAGACCGCAAAGCGGTGAGGGCGAAGCCCGTGAGAACGCTTATGTTTCATTGACTTTCTCCAGTAACGAGAACTTTTATGAGATAATATTGAAGAGAGATGATTTTAATATGGTGTAAATGGTAGCTTGGGCAGCTTTAGGCGCAATGGGAACAAAAGCATTAGCATTTGGAGCAAAAGCACTTGGAGCTTATGACGCAGTAAATAAAATGAGTGGAGGAAGGGTTTCGAAGACATTAGATGCAAATAAAGGGAAGATTGGAGGCTGGGTTGCAAAGAAGTTAAGATTAAATAAAATAGGGCTCATAAATAAAGCATCCAATTTGTTGCGACTGAGTCAGAAAATGCTTTAGGAAAGGACGATGAGTTTGCAAAACACGCAAAAGACTTTAATGACCAGATGAAAGGTGAAACAATGCATTTAAATAGATTCGATGGAACTAAAGAAAATGTTTCTTCTCCACCAGTAGTTCTTCCGTATGGTCCCTATGGAATGTATGGAAACCCTTACGAAAGACCATT